GTAAAGTTCGTAACTTTACTACCACACTTTTCAGATCCCTACAAATGAAGCTGGTCTGATTGAGTATAGATGCCATCCCTATTGGTCCCAAAAATATTGTCCAGCACATGAGCTTGATAACACTGCTCGCTGCTGCAGTTGTGAGCGACTGGAGGTATATATTGATGTGGGCTAAAGCAATATCTCTTGCATTAATATGTACTTACTGGCCATGAAATGTACTGTTTTTTGCTCTTTTTTCTCAATGTCCTTTGTGAAGTCTTGGAATACAAGATACTACTCCTTAGAAGACGGAAGAAGTTTGTGTTTAGAGTGCATGGAATATGCTATTATGGACACTGGCGACTGCCAGCCCCTTTACCATGCCATAAGGGACTTCTATGAAGGAATGAACATGAAACTGGATCAACAAATTCCCATGCTTCTTGTTGCAAGACAAGCTCTTAATGAAGCTATCTTTGGAGAGAAAAATGTAAGAACATATAGTATTTTCTGCGGTTTTTTAAGCTTGTGAGCTCGTGAAATTGATCTTATTTTTCTGTTTTGAGTTCTTTTCAGGGCTACCATCACATGCCTGAGACAAGGGGCTTATGTCTTTCTGAAGAGCAAACGGTCACAAGTGTATGAGACACAACTGTACTTGTCCAAAACTTGGAATGTTTTGGGAAAAAGCTGACAAAAGGTTTACTAGAGACTCTGATCTGTGTGTGCTATTCGTTGCATCCAGGTACAAAAGAGGCCAAGGATTGGAGGTCATCGACTTATAGGAATGAGAACTCAGCCTCAAAAGCTTACTAGGAAGTGTGAAGTCACAGCCATTCTTGTTCTTTATGGTCTTCCAAGGTATTGTTCAATCTCAATATCTAAATACTGGCCTGTGCTAGGGAATCACAGGAGAGTAAGATTGTTTTCCAGCAAATTTTTTAGTTGTCTGAAAATGGTAGGATACTATAAGGGATGAGAATGGAACTTATGAATACTCTTTCTTCCACTAATTCTTGTTGGCTGGCAACCTGTTCTGGACCCAGATTACTAACAGGAGCAATTCTTGCCCATGAATTGATGCATGGTTGGTTACGTCTTAAAGGTAGGTTTGATGCTCAGATCAATGCTTGCCTCGAATCCGTCTTTAAGATGAAAAGTTATTTCTAGTTAATTTTTTGTTGTTGATCATGCAGGCTACAGAAATCTTAATCCTGAGGTTGAGGAAGGCATCTGTCAAGTACTTTCATACATGTGGCTGGAAGCAGAAGTCCTGCCAGGATCCAGAAACATGCCATCTACTTCTGCAGCATCATCATCATCAACTTCATCATCATATTCATTCTCTTCTAAGAAAGGTGGAAAAACCGATGTTGAGAAAAAGCTGGGTGAATTCTTCATGCATCAAATCTTACATGATGCTTCCCCGGCTTATGGAGAAGGATTCAGGGCTGCAAATGCTGCTGTCAACAAGTATGGTTTACGCCGAACTCTGGACCACATTCGTCTGACTGGAAATTTCCCTTTGTAATTCTAACAGTTGCCTGCATGACTTTTACTTTCTTTCTTCTCTTCATGGTCACTGGAGATAATTTTTCTAAAACTCCTCTGAAGGATTGATTAACCAACTCGTATTATCTTGGATGAGTACTTTTGCCCTTGACTTTTCTTGGGGTCCTATAAGATACATGTTGAAAATGACTCTTCATTAACGAATAATACTATTATCATATTTTAGAATTGTTTCTTGTTAGTGATTGTTTCTTGTTTGATTCTTTTTGCACTACCATGACACAAGTTCAAGAATCAAGGATGTTCTCTTTGTACTTAACACACCTTCAAATCTTTATTCCTCTTGTCGTGTGTGAATGGAAATTGGAATCTGGCTTTGATAAAAGTATACAATTATCAAATCTGCGTAACTGTCAGAGCACAATTCCATTGTAAATACATTGTGGATCAGAATTTTTTGTTTTGTAAGACAGATGAAACAGACAACTTCTTACAAATCACTCATGCTAATACCACTTTCACCAAGCACTTCAATTGTGTTCTTTCACCCAGACACATTTTTTAAAAAATCCAAATTAACACAAAATCTTAGCATGAAAATTTTCATTTATCACTTTATTAGTGCAGGTAAGATTAGATTTAGATCACAATAGCTTAATGTTATTATTATTTTGAATGGATGCAAAAAGATTTTATTCGAACTCACCCATACTATTAATATTCGTATGAACACATTTAATTATCAAATTTTAATGTAACAGTACATATAATGTTGGCATGATGGCTCTTGCATTACAAAAAATTTTCTTAAAATGTGTAACACAAAATTTAAAAAAAATTTACTTAAAAAACTCGAATGATCATACTAATCAGATATTTTTATAAATTTTTTTTAAAAA